AAACCGCTCACGCTGTTCCTTCACTGTCGCTAGGTCAAAATCCTGGAACTCCGTCCCTGAACAGAGTTGCGGGTCAACCCACAGCATATGGACTGCTGCCGTTCCATAAGGCAGCTCGCTACCACCTTCTCAAAGGGTAACTAAGGACGGGCATTAACTGTTAGCATTGCCCAGCAATGCCCAGATCCCCACGAGCAAGTTTAAATTGATGGAGATAGTGCAGTGGATCAAACTCTGACTTTAAGTTACTGAGACTGACTCAAATACTGTTCAAATTAAACAGGGGGCGTTTTCTCTGATGACACTGGTTGAATGCTGACTCAAAGCCAGCAACTGAGAGCTTGGCACGCTTTCGAGATGTACTTAAGAAATTTGAGCCCAGGTTTCCCACAATGTTTCTGTATGTTTGCGATGGGAATGTGGGGGGCGGAAAGACCAGCATGTGATGCAACATGAAGAGTGTTTGTTTTTGTTATTTCCAATCTGATTGTAATGACACAGGAAGGAAACAGGAACACAAATTAGGCTATTCGGCCCCTTCAGCTAAGACCATCAGAAATAGGAACAGGAGTAGGCCTTTCAGCCCCTCGAGACTGCTGTGCCATTCAATAGGATTATGGTTGATCCTACATTCCTCACATCCACCTTCCTGCTCTTTCCCATAACCCTCGATTCTCCTATTGATCCTGTTCCGCAATAGGATAAAATAGTGCCTGGTCTAACTGTGGACTTAACTCCACTTTCCCGCTGACACTGATACCCTTTAATTGCAGCATTACAATGTTGTCAGGGGCTCACCCTCTCTGCCCTCAGTCTATCCTCCTCTTTCTGTTAACATGCTGCTATATATGGTGACATTTTTGGCAAGAACATTGAGCTCCTGTCCTCATTCACCGACTCTGGCTCTCACTTGCCCACTGCATCGAGTTTCATTCTGGTGTTAAAATCCTTCAAGACTTTGTCTTCCTCATGGCAATATTTCCACCAACTCCACTCCCTTTTCCTGCGCCTCTCAAAGTCCCATTCCTCTAAGCCTGGCTTTTTATGCACTCCTCTTTCTCTCTTTCTCTCTCTCTCTCTTTTTCTCTTTCACTCTCTCTCTTTCTCTCTCTCTTTTTCTTTTTCCCTCTTTCTCTCTCTCTCTCTCCTTCTCTCCCTCTTTCTCTGTCTCACTCTTTCTCTGTCTCTCTCTTTTTCTCTTTCTCTCTTTCTCTGTCTCTCTCTTTTTTTCTCTCTTTTTCTCTCTCTCTTTCTCTTTCTCTTTCTCTCTCTTTATCTCTCTCTCTCGTTCTTTCTCTCTTTCTTTCTCTCTCTCTCTCTCTCTCTTTCTCTCTTTCTTTCTCTCTTTCTCTCTTTCTCTCTCTCTTTCTTGAGGTTGGTTGGCTCGCCAAGCTAGTTTGTTGTTTTGCAGACATGTCGTTACCGTAATTGGTAACATCCTCAGTGCAGCCTCTGATGAAGCGTCGGTGTGTTTTCCCACCTGGTTTTTGAACTCTGGGGTCCGTTGCAATGCTCCCTGCATCCCTGTTTATCACCAAGGCCTTCTTTGGGGTTGGGAAGTGGGGGGGTCATTGAACAAGCTTTTCTGTAACATCATTGTACAATTCTCGAATGTCTGTCAAACACCCTGCTTCCCCCATCTCCAGTATGTTTAATAAACAGAAGGGTTCAAAGAAACTGAGAAGAAAGAAGTTTGATTTTGTTTAGAATGAATTTCCTCCTTGCTCGTTGGCACAATTGATCTGGTGATGCGTCTTCAATTCCAGAAGATTTCTGTTGTGTTGGTCACTCCAACTTTGAAAGAGATGGGGAATTGGAGAATTAAATTAGTGAAAGGACGTACGATAATGTCACCATTCAGATGCTTGATGGTGCTTGAATGTTTAGGCACCCTGTCTCCCAGATGAGGCAAGTTTTGTCACTTCCTCGAGGCAACTTCTGTAGCAAATATTGCCCTCAAAGGACTGATTCAGGATGATAGCAGAGAACCTTCGCTTCATCTGTGACTTCTGTATAATACAAAGATGCCCTGAATTTGTACAGTTGTGGGCTAGGCCTGGGGCCTTCAATGGAAGTGTAGTGGGCAAGTGCAAATAAAGTCATGAAAATGTTCAGAAATAACCAACCTACTCTGCTCCAGAGCCCAACTTGGTGCATTTATGTCTGCCTTTCAGATGTGCAGAAGGTCCTTTGTTCCTGGTAAAGTGTAGCGCATGCTGCAGGAGCGAGAGTATGACTCTCGTCCTGACTCTGTGTCAGTTTCACAATACCGTGGGAACTGAAGCATGATTCAGAATGAATTGAAATGTCAAGTTAGAGAGTTCAGCTGCAAACCTGGCTCCTTCCCATCGGATGTGGCTGATCCTGCAGCTCGCCAACTCCCCTCCCCTCTTCTCCAAACAAGTATGAGCCTGCCCTCTTAGCTAATCCACACTGCTTTGAATTTCCCAGTTTTCCACTGCTGTCACTTGGTAGCTGGGCATACAAACATTGCAGCATCTTCCCATTTTAAAGATGGTATCAATTGAAGATTGTTCACGACATTGTGGGAGGATTGGTGTCAAGAGCTGACTGGTTCACTCGTGACCTTTAGGAAAGAAGCCCCTTTCCCTGGTCTGGTCTGGCCTGTATATTGCTTCCTGTCCTACACAACATCGCTGACACTGCACATCTCTGTCCAGTTCCCTTGCACACCACTCAGACAGTTTTTGAAGAATAATGTCGACAGCGGTGCTTCAAGACCATCACTACTCTCTCTGGGCTTTTGGGATTGGGCAATAAATGCTGGTCTTGCCAGCAATATCTACATCCTGAGAATGGGTTAAATATAGGTAGAAATATGTGAAAACAAAAAATGCTGGAAATCAATGAGGGCCAGGCGGCATCCACGGAGAGAGGGCAAGCTAGTGTTTCGAGCCTAGATTACTTTTCATTGGAACTGACCCTCTGTGATTTCCAGCATTTTTTTTTGTTTTCAGTATGCATTCCAGCATCCGCAATAATTTGCAGGTACAATTACAACGTTTAAAAGACAATTGGATGAGTTCGTGAATAGGAAAGGTTTGGAGGGATATGGGCCAAACACCGGCAGGTTTAGTTTGGGAACACGGTTGGTGTGGACCGTTTGGACTGAAGCTTTCATGTTTTCATGCTGTGTGACTCTATGTTCATGTAAAGATGTAGACCCCACACACTTAGACATCGCATCAGTCTTCAATTAACATGAAATTCCAAACAGATTTTCTGATTTATAATTCTGTTACAATATAGCTGCGTTGCTATTTACTCGATCCTCTGTAGGTTGCTGGGGAAGGTAAAGGCTGACACATGCTGAAAGTGAGTGTATGATTTCGGAGCAGAAGTAAGCTATTTTGAAAGTCTCCATTGAGTGAAAAGAGTCTCAGCTTACAACCTCACAAGAGTGTCAATCAACCCTATCCATTCATGCACTTCACCCCTCTTAACATTGTTTAAATAAACACACAAGTATTGAAAAGCTACATGAAAGAAAGAAAGAATAATCAAACAAACCTTGCACTCTCCAACATGTTGGGTCAGCAGAACGACAACAGTAGAAACAATGATGACCAGCAAAGAACTGAGATTTGTGAAGATTGATTATCTGAAGGTTGAGAAATGAAAAGTCCAATAGTGGGGAAGAGTAAATATTTAATTAGGTGCTGGAGAGAAAAATGAGCTATAAGTCAGGCATTTGGATCCAAAATGTGTAGGTAAACAAATGCAGGGAAATTAAGCTACCATTGTCAATGAGGTCACATGCGCGCTGAAGGTACTGACGTTTTGCGCTATGCAAATGGTAGAAAGGAGCCAAAAGTTGGGTAAAATTAGACTCCAAGTCAGAGGTTTGTTTTTGGAAATCAGAAACAATTTCATGACCAGGTGACTGGACCAGAGGCACTCTGATATGCAGGACATTGCATTTCTGAACTGAAAATTAATATTTATGTGTTAAAATGACTGTGGCTGGAGCCAAGACTTCCATTGACGGCTGTGGAACAGTGCCCCAGGATTCGCTGCGGCTAAATCCAACATTTGAAATGATGAGGTGCCATTTCTTCAACTGCTAAAATCACAGTTCAAAGCTATTGTTCACATCACCAGTTGAGTCTTGAAAGACAAATCTTCTGAGACAGCGAAGCAATTTCTTCAATGGTTGTATCTAATACCTGGTTCACTCAAGGAAACTAGTGAGAGTTCACTGAAATTGACTGGATTGTCGAGTGGATCAATGAGGATGTCAATATAATCATGGTTAATTTCACTTATTGGATTGGATGATTAATTGACTGCGACATTTTGTCTGCAGGATGGATGTGGTCTAACAAGTACTATTTAGTAACGATGACCTGATTGAACAGGCCTCTCCTCAGTGATGTTGGAACTAAGGACTCCCCTTTAAACAACACACAAAGTGCCCCGGGATACATCCTTAGCTTAATGGATGTTGAACATCACCAGTAACAAAGTCACAAGAGAATATTCAGGGTTCAAATATTCCCCTTTGTAAGATACAGTCATGGCTCCTCTGTGCTAACACACAAGAGTTTCACTGACTGTATTGACTCTTTAGGAATAAACTGATGAAGAGTCATCTAGACTCAAAACATTAGCTTGCTTTCTCTCCATGGATGCTGCCTGCTGACCCACTATGATTTCCAGCAATTTTTGTTTTCAGTAGGATTCACTCTTCCTTTCCCTCCTCCTGTCGTCTCTTATCTTGTCTATCTTTTCTGCCCATCTCTACCTCTCTCACTCTCTATCTCTTATAGTCACTGTTACTCTCTCTTATAACATTAGAATTAACTGGTTTGTAATTGCTCAGGGAACATCAGTGGCTTAGAGCCTGGAGGCAAATATCTACTTTCAAACCCAGACGATCATCTCTTCAACAATAAATGAGCTTATGTTGCTAGACAGACGTGTCTGACGAAACCAACAAAGTCAAATTCACCTCTTACAAAGTGTTTGCCATTTTGCAGATCCCAGAAGAAACTGGCTGAGGCTGAGCAGCTACTGCGCGACTCTGTTCGGTTTGGCCCCCAGTTTGCTGATGCCTACTCCAGCCTTGCAGCTCTGTTGGCCGAGCAGGTGAGTCTTGGTGCCATTGACGCAGTGAGCTTATTGATTAAACTTGGTTCTGATTTGTGGCAGAAATGTAGCCAGTTAAAGCCACATAGCTTACCAGCCCAAAGTACAGGTGAGCTTGCCCAGCCTGCTAGGACATGGGTTTCCTGAATGATCATCTGCAGTGCCTGTGCCCCCTTGCTCTGAACTTTGATCAATGAGCCTGCTGGATAGAGCTGACCACTGTGCTATTTCTGAACCATCACATGTAGAAATTTCAATGGTAACTTCAGAAGCACTCTTCTTACTGTTACAGAACAGACCAGACCTCCTCAAAATGTATTAAGAAGGTAGACTAGACCCTAACTTTTTCTTATTTTAATGGTAAATGTGAGCTGTTGTGTTCCAGATGCAATATGATTGATCAAACTACTTGATGTTAAGCACAACACAATTTATTCAAACACTGTAGTTAAAAAACAATAAAATGAGGAACTTGGAATAACCTAATTCTAGTAGACAACTTAACAGAACAACAGAGTGTTTTATTACTAAAAATCAATGTAGTAACATCCCATAAATGCACCCTTGTCAAAAGGCAAATTCAGAAAACAGATAGTTTCAAATGCAGTTCTCCAATCCAGGAGGAAAGAACATTTAAAAGACAATTCTGTGAGAGAGGGAACTCCAGCTTTCAGCTGTAGCAAAGAGAGATGTGGCACCTTTTTACAACCCCAGCAGCTCCAACCCTGCTGAGACCCCAGCATCAACTGCTGAAAAATAAACTGAGAAAAAACCCTGGTTCTACCGGATCTCAACCGCACCCAATCAGGCTGCTTCTATTGTTCCGATTTTTAAAAAAAAACACACAAGGCTTCACAAGTTGTTTATCTTCTCATAGACTGCTCGCTACCTGTACCCCAATCTCTGTCTACAAAATAACAGCTCAAAACACACCTCTTAAAGCCACAGTACTGTCACAGTACTTTCTCTCCGTTCCCAACAACCACTTTTCACATTCTGCCTGGGGGAAACAATGGGTTTCTGAATACTTTGCATTTATATTCTAAGATTCTAATATTCTAAGAATTTGGCACCACAATTCATGAAACAGAAGGCAATTTCTTCTGCACAGTTTTGCCACTGCTTTTCCTGACATCATACATCCTTCCCTCAATTCTGTTTGCTACAATCTATTTCTGTATAAAACCAAATCAAGAGAAACTTTTCTCAAGTTTCTAGAGGCTCTTGGTGTTATTGTGGAAGCGACAGCATTTATATTTGAAGATAGATCCCAGAAAGATCAGCCATTCAGATACCAGTGAATGGGTTTCCCTTTGCTCAATCATTTACAGAAAAGTCAATATGTTATCTAGTTAGATAATGACAGAATTGAAGGTGTTTGCCTTACCTGGAAGGCAATTCAATATTCTGGCCAATCTGTGATACTCCAGCAGCAGAAATTACAGAAAGCGGTTTGTGTAAGTTGTTGCAGTTTTGCACTTTTATTTATCATAGAATCCTTACCGCATGGAAGCAGGCCATTCAGCACCTTGAGTTGACACCAACCCTCCAAAAAGCATCCAACCCAGATCCAGCCCCCCTACCCTGTACATCCCATGGCTAACCCACCTAGCTTGCACATCCTTGGACACTATGGGGTAATTTAGCATGGCCAATCCACCTAACCTGCACATCTTTGGATTGTGGAAGGAAACCAGAGCACCCGGAGGAAACCCACACAGACACGCGAGAATGTGCAAACACAGACAGTCGCCTGATGGTGGAATCGAACCCAGGCTCCTGGTGCTGTGAGGCAGCAGTGCTAACCACTGAGCCACCGTGCCGCCCAGATCTCTTTCTCGGATCAATATCCATGTGGCAGAAGCCAGGA